GGGCCCCGTGTCATTGGTTTCTAGATTTTTTTTGCTGTCGTTCCCGGGTGTGCAAAGTGTTTTTGTTGTTGCGCCCCGTTGTGCGCCGATGGCCACCGGCGCGGGGCCAGAGCAAAAAAAAGGCACCACCCATTGGACCCAGGGTGTTTTTTTTGTTGCTCCGGCCCCGCCGATAGGCAGGGGAAGGAGAAGCGCCGTTGGCCGCCGGCACGGAGCCCGGGCCGCCGGGGTGGTGTTGTTTTTTTTGCCGCGGCCCCGCCCGGGTGTTTTTTCTGCGGCCCCGCCCGGACGCTCACTCACTCACTGCGGGCCTGGGCGGCGAGATGCCCTCGCCGGCGTGGTGTTTTGTTTTTTTGCTGCGGCCCCGCCNNCCGGACGCTCACTCACTCACTGTGGGCTGGGGCGACCCTTGCGGCAAGGCCCGGGTGGTGCTTTGCTTTCGGCTGCGGCCCCGCCGAATCCGGCGAGCCATTAACAAAAAATGTCTGGTGTACTACATTGGGTCTAAAAAGACCCGGCGGGGCCACAGCAAAAAAAACAACACCACTTCCTTATATAATTCTTCGCAGATCACCGAATTTGGAAACTCGAAACATAATCGTCGATACCCTTCATACATCATCGGACATCCTCGCCATGCGCGGTTTCTAACGCTCACAGCACGATACCGATGTACAAATGTAATACAAGCAATCAAGACACAGAGAGAGCTATACATAAAAATATATACACATAGTATATGTCTAAAAATGTTTTTCTGTATATAGGTATACACATATACATTATATATACACATGCACATGCATATCTGTATTCATACACACGTACATACCGTACATTACATTACATACGCTTCCTTCATCGAGCGAATGCCTTTTGTCACACATTTATCTGCGTACCAGATGCACGGCCAAAACGAGGTACACTTGCCTGCATGCACGTGCTTAGTTACTCGCACATGCTCCTGCGCACACACACACACATGCACATACTGAGTACTCATAGCCATCTGTACATACACATGTGCAGCATCCACACATTTCGCATACATACATACATACATACATACATACATACGTACGTACGTACATACATACATACATGCATTACATACATGCATGCATGCATGC